GAAAATCAAGTGAGCACTTCAGTCACAGCCTAACACACAGACTGAGCAAAGTCAGCCGTGCAATGAATTAAGGGCATCACGGCGCTGACAGGATACCTCTTCTAGCTGGGAGCCAGCAGTGTTAAAAGGAATTGTGAATTGTATCTTTGACACTTCGAGAGTTCCCTGTGTACTGATGACATCTTAGAAGGAAGCAATTGATAGAGGTTTTAAGCAGGTTAGTGTACAGTAGTATGTGAGGCATCCAAAGCGAGTCATCTCACCCCAGATGCGTACTAGATACTTTAACTTCGGTAACATTGACTTTGTACTAAAGTTTTGTAGAGGGTTGTACAGGCTTGTCACTTCCTAAGGTTAGGAGCACGAAGGTGCTGTGATGGCTAGTTACCTTGACGACCACCTCCTGTGTAGATCAGATGGACCTCACAAACGCCGCTGAGTTTAGGCATGCGTGCCATATGCATACCACAGTCTCGACTGACAGGTTGTCTGTCTTTGCAGGAGCTACGCGCTCACCAATGTGTCCTGGCAGCATGCAGCGAGTACTTCAAGCGGCTCTTCTGCGGTCCAGAAACCGCCAAACGCATCGAATTCCAGCAGCGTTGGCCAGTGGTGCATCAGCTTGTACGCTGCATGTACGGCGCAGATATAGAAGGAGGCACGGATCCCGAAATCATCCTAGAGGTACAACAAGCCCTTCGAATTTATGCTTCCGCAGATTTGAGCCGTCTTGTCAGCATCAGGCTTGCTACACGTCATTGTTTTGCTCCGACATACTGTAAAGAGGAAATTCGTAAACTTGGTTAGTTGCGAACCTCCAAAGATCATTCCCCCTTCTTCTGCCAGCGGCGTCTGTGCAGGTGTTGGCGGAGGCCAGGAACCTGGAAGTTAACTGTCTCAGTATAGATGATTGTCTCTCCCTTATTGTAGACCAACTCTCGGTTCAAAACTGCGCGCGTATTTTGACGCACGATGAAGTCGCCCACCACAAAGAACTCTCTCGACAAGTTTGCGGGTACATTGTTAAACGTTTTGCCGACGTCGTTCGAGCGCCATCTTCTCGGCAACAACTACTGCAGATGCCGCGTAACCAAATCGTGTACATGGTTAGGGAACTCTGCAGGCGCTGCGACAACAACAGGGATACAGATCTGATCGTCCGATTTGTCGTCGATTGGAGCTCATTCGACACAGCATGTGATCTTTTGAGAGACTGCAAATTGTGGGACTGGTCTATTGAACCAGGAGCGCTGTCCATTTTCCGTGATGAAGATACTCCGTTGGGAGCTGTTCCGTCCAGTAAGATATGTTTGGAGTAGCTCGGCTGCATGCAACCTACAATGCCGCCTCTGCCCTGAGCTCGGAAATTCACGGTTCTTCCATATCCTGCATGACACTATGTTGTCTCCCTTGCGAAAATGTCCTCTTAATGGCTGCCACAGACTGCCGTCACTATCAACCAAGTATGCCTTTTATTCTGGGCCACTGCTGCACCTAGCAGGTGCTCTGCAAAATAGAGTTTTCCTGTTGCTTTATGCCTTCAGATTTGTTAAGCGCGGCTCAGTGGCGCATAAGCAATCTGAAGATTGCTCTAAGAGAGTCACTGCCAGCCAAGTTCGTGTGTGGGACATACTTTGATTGGAGTGTTCGGCTGGATGTTGGTGAGCTTAGGTTCTCATTGCTTATTGCCAAGGCAAAAGTGAATCTCCGAAGAATTCACCCCTTGAGGCCTTATTATATATGCTATATTTTTCAGGAGCTGAAAATAAACTAAGGATTGTCTACGAGTCAGCCGTTGACAGGACCCCCGGGCAGCCAGCGTGCATCAAAAGGTTCCCTGCCGCTCTATTCGCTTGGCAGGTTTGTAGACTGTACTTCACAGAAGCCAGAACATTGACGCAGATGGTTACTTACTTTCACGCTTTTCCAAGCACCTGTGAACTAAATGGGTTTATGTAGAGCAGTCGAAAATTCGACACGAAAGCATCAGAGGCACAACACAAGCAGGGCCTCCTGGGGACACTTTGCACTTTCTGTTTTCCCCTGAAGGTCTCAGCACTAAATGGGTTCGATCTGTAGAGTTTGTGCTGCTTTGCCTAGGCAATATTTCGTGGGGAAGACGTGTTCCGTGAGCGCCCTGTTTTCATTTGTTTTCCGGAGCACATTGGGCTTCATTGGTCGACTACTCTGCATATATCGACGGGTACGGTGCTAAGGACCATGTAACCGTGAACGCTTGCCCCTGACTTCACTGCATACAAGTATCCGTGTACAATGTGCACTCTTAAAATTCATTTGTAGGTTTCGGTACTTTTTACGAGTTAGTAAAGAGATTCCACTTACTGCTTGCGGCATAATCGAACGGCTGATACATTCTGTATTTATTTATAGCAAAGCAGCTTTACAGTGTAGTGCCAGGAAATTCGTTTCTGTGTGTCCTGGTATGTTGGCATAAATGGTGCTCCTCGCATTCTTCCTTGGTGTTGGCTTCTCAGCTGACGTAACGGAGGCTGACGAGCTAACGCTGATGGTGCAGATGACCGAGATACCTTTGGTCTCCCTCATTCTCTACTACTTTTCGTCAGACCTCCACCAAACGCTTGCCCACGAAGATATCCTTAACCGCCTACCCCATATTGAATACCGTTGTTTGAGCTCTTATACTCTTTTCCACCAAAATGCTCCGGCGCTTTCTTCCGGCTGACCTTTGCATCGAACCGCCAATTATGTGCATCTAAAATTCCAATATGCGGCTTGCATATACATTCTTTTGACTGCCTTTGGTTTCAGATTCACTCTGGTTGGAGCTATCCTCCCACCTCACCTAAACAAAACTATTACAGTGTCTAGGTGAGGTGGGAGGATGGCTCCAACCACTTTCTTTTTGCAACTCGGCCTTCTGCTGACGTGGAGGCCGACGGGCTCCCTAATGCTGCTTTTGTGC